TCTCATATCACTGAGGCAGGAAAAAGAGGCATCTTATAGTATTGTACTAGAATTGGTCACAAAGGAGTTTTTGCAGGAGACACCAGCTTGTTCCCCCATCTCCTGAAGGAGCAGCAGCACCAAGAGCTTTGGGGTGGCAGTTCTTGTGTTTGCCACACCTGCCAGATTCCTGAAGGCTGCCCAAAGCAACCAGCAAACCCCTTGTTTGTAACTACTTTGGATTAAAAAATAAAGGTAACACAACTGGGTGCTGCTTTCTGAGGAAGTTGGCAGAGCTGAAAAACTGGGCACTACTGCCTCAAAGCATTTTGCTGGTTTGTCATCTGAGGAGACAATGGGAGCCACGGAGTTGCTACTGCTGGACAGTTGCTGCAAGTGAGCTGAGCCCTGCAAACTGGCAGGGAGCGTGCTCCTAGCCCCACACAAATCCACAGCAAGGATGGCAGCTGACACAGCAGCTGCCAGCTACCATTGTCCTCTCTGGTTTTGCTGAGCAGAAAGACCTTGCCATGGTCATACATCATCCTCCTGGAGACTCCTGGTTTTCCATACAAAACCCTGTTCTAGGGCCTCCTCTGATGCAGACAATCAAGATACCAGCATGAATTCCCACTCATCCTGGTTCACTTTACATCTTTGGAGCCCCAAGAGTCTGTGAAGACAAGAGTATTTACCAGTTGTGCCAAAGAGGCACCTTGGGAGCAGAGCCCAGCTCTGCACAAACCTGCTAAGAGCTTGGCTACTACTTCAGCTAAAAATACTTAAACAAAATACCAAAATAAAAACGGAAAAGAGGGTATCCTGAACAAGTATCATTCTCATGGATTCATACACAAAAGAGTAGCTCCCCAAATAAACTCCTTGGTAGAGTGAAAATTATTGAGGAGTCACTCAGGCATCAGATTGGGTGAGAGAGCAGCAATGCAGACACTCACTCGTGATGCTGTGCCACAGCTGAACCTCCCTGGCTTTGGTGGGTGCCGTGAGCCTGAGTGGAAGCTCCCTGGCTCTCTCTGAAAACCACCTTACACAGTCACCACTTGTATTGGGAAAACAGACCTGAATCCAAAATATGCTACTTTGTAATGAAGGATATCAGCAAAAGTGGCAGCAGTTCAAAATATCCTTAGAAGGAGCTTTCTCAAACTTTGATGACTACCACCACCACCACCACACTAACAGTAACTATTAATGCTAAATTAATTAAATCATAGATGAATGGCATGAATGGCTGATTGAAGTCATGTGGGGACTAAAAAAATGAGATGCTGAAATGAAATTTACCTCCTTCTGCACTTTGCACTCAGTCTGTAAATCCCACTGCACGTTCTCTAGTCACTGAGTATCCAATTCAGCGTTTTGGAGCTCTGTGCAGCTGCAGCCCTCAAGTGTCTGCAGACATGTGCCCCTTCTGTGACGTGTCAGTCACTTCAGCTGTCAGGTAGTCTCAAATATTTTATATGGGATTTTGAGAAGGGCTTGTGTGCCTGCCAGGAATGACCTGGCTGGGAAAGTCAATGTGCTCTGTAGACAATAAGGAAGAACAGAGGAAGAACATCCATTTACCTCCACTTTAATCCTATCTCCAAGTCTCTGAATTCCTGACAAGCCTCAGGCAGTCCACGGTGTGTGATCACAGTTAAACTCAGCTCTGTGGCTGAAGAAACAGAACTCTTTGCTAGGTGAAGAGTTGGGTTATCAAGCCCACCAGAAATAAGTGGGGGCAATTACAGGTCAGAGATATGGGCATGGGGAAGTGCTGGAATGCTCAGGGAGCAAGAGCACAAACAGGAACAGCCCTGCTAATGTCTAAGCTACCACTAGCATGAGGGATAATTTAAAGAAGCAAAGTAATGAGAGGCTTGTGACAGAGAACTGGTGGTCTTGGGTGGCAGCAGTGGTGGGGTTTGGACAATTACCAGTTCGAAGAAATCCATTCATCCTGCACACTTAATGAAGGAAGCATCTAGCAAAAATATAGTTACATAAATACCTTACTGAAAATTGCATCATGGACATATTAGGCATGAGGTCATGCAGATTTTCTAATTCCCAGACCTTTGCCATTGCAGGTTTGGCATTCTTGAAGCGTGGTTTCCAGTGGGCAGCTCTGTGTATTTATACATGATCACACAGATGGGCACAGACATATATATCCATACGTGCACTTCAGTGCACTGGGCTACAGGAGCATGCATTGCTTAGAGCTAAAACCAGCTTCTGTGCATTATATAAGAAAGGTTAAGAGCGTTCATATACATTCCAAAACTTGTGGTTCCCCAAAATGGTGTGCCCTTACAGAAAATGAAGGGTTTACTCAAGCTGAACAAAAATCCTTCTAGGATGGGTTTTGAGCTACAGCAGCCACCCATCCTTTTTAGCAATACATAAAGCAGCCAAAGGTTTTTTTAACTTGCCTTGTCATGAGATTTGTGTCCATAGACGTTTTTGGAGCTGAATTCCCACTGAAGTAAGCGACAACTTCACACAAATGGGCTGCAGTACCTGGGCCTAAATATTTAACTTCTTAGTCAACCTTCTAGAACAGCTTTAATGCTTGCAATTGTAAACATTGGGAAAAGCTACTGCTCACGTACTTAAAACCAGATGGACTCCAAGCCCACGCCCTGAGAATCACTTGCTGTAACCCCACAGCTACACCCAAGCTGGTCCCAGCTGTTCCACTTATGTTTTATGATACATCACCAGGATATTCAGAAATAAGCTCTACCAACACAACGTGTATGGCTCTGTCTGCTTGATATGCAAAAAAGTAGTTTGCACCTAATTTTAGTATATCCACCTAGAAAACATTTAGCTTCCCAGGTTATATGCCCTACTCGAGCTTGAGGGTTTTTAAAGATATTAAAGAAAGAGGACTTTGGCTATTTGCCTGAGATTTCTAAACATCCTGAAGCCCAGTGAGAAGACCTACTTGATGTCTCAAAATCCCAGAGTAAAGGTCACTGGTAAGATACAGATCATTAGCATGGGCAATTGGTTTTAATTACTGTTTTGGGGTAATCTTTGGACTGGCTGATGCACCCCTACAGCTTCAATCCACACAAGCAAAAGGCATCTGCAGCACAAGCACAGCAGATCCTGTCAGAAATAGGAGATCCTATATATGTAGCTTCTCCCAGTGGATTGCAGATGTGGTTTCAGCAGTTTCCCTGACTGGTGTGATTTAGAAAAGCAGGTTTTCCCAAGTCATCCTGGCTAGAGCACTGCACAAGGCCCATGTTTAATCAAGACAGGGGCTGTGCACACCCCTACAAACCTATGTGCAAAGGAAAATGTTTCAAATCTGTGTGTGCTTGATCCCAGGGCTGACAATTAGCTGTTTCCACTGCTGCCTTGCCTGTTCAGTGTCACAGTAGCTACAGTCAACACAGACAATTCTGTTCAGATGCCTCATGTTTTAGTGCACAATGCATGAAATGTAACCTGATAAGGCACAAAAGGCATTTGCATCTTCTCTTTTGAGCACGAACAGTGTTATTGTTATGGGCCATCCAAAACATGAGTCAGCCTGTGGGGACACAGCCCTGCAACTCACCAAGCAGCACAGCCAGTGTGGGCTGCAGACCTCAGCTCAGCTCTCCCTGCAGATGTGCTGTCCTGCTGGGGCTGGCTCGGACCCCTGCCCTTTCACTACTCCTTTAAAAAGGACCAGTCCTTCAGAAGTGGCGTTTGTGCCATTATCAGACTGATGAGTACCTTGTTGAGCAGTAACTGGTTAAATTTATGTGGCATGTGGTTTCATTCAGCTGATCTGGACTGTGCTGCAGAAGCCAGGCACACCCTGGCCTGACAGGAATCACGAATCCCCTTCTCAGCCAAAGACGCCTGAGCAAACATAAACCAGACTGGGAACCAAGGGGCTGATGGACTCTTTCTGTCAAAGCTCCTGAGACCCTTAATCCCCACGCATCCTTTTTCCACACACTGCTTCACATGCCTGATTGAAGCCCAAGTGATTGAAATCCAATCAGCAAAGGGAAGGGAATGTCCAGGCACTGAGATCAGGACGCCTGCTCCTGTTACACATGCAGTCACTTGCATTGAAACAAGTCAGGACCTCAAGAGCCTCATGAAATGATGAATTGAGGAAAATCAGAAGGGACAAGGCCAGCAAGAAAGCACAGAGAAAAACTGACTGTACAGACAGACAAAAGGAGAAAGAAACGGAGAGAAATTGGTTAGAAAGTGTCCCAGCTTGGGGGGGTCTGTGCTGTCAGGGCTTCAGGATAGCTGCGGAGAATCTGGTGGAGTGTGTTTAGCATGGACATTGTTCTACCAGTGGGACCAGTGTTGCAATGCTATTCTCTTTAGAACAGTCAAAAAACCCAGAAAAATGAGATTTTCATACTGACATTACTCAGGCATTTCTCATGTCACCAAAACGCGTCTGGAGACTGGATACTGGGTAGAGCTGCAGGGAGCACAGCTCATCCTGTGCCACAAAGCCACGACTCTCCTCTCCTCCTGAGGGACAGGACCCACGTCCAGGTTTCACCAGGAACACGTTCAATAGACAGCCTTGCTGGCCTTCCCACAGCAAGGCTTTCCAGGCACGTTTCTCTGGAAGATGTGATCCCGACACTGACTCAGCACGGGATGCACATCTGGAATCCAGTCACCCATTACCAACATTTAAGTCACTGACTTGGAAAACAGGCAAAGGGGACAGCTGGCTGTAACAGCAGCTATTTTATCTCCTCCCACCTGACCTGTGAGGTCCAGGGGTATCTGGGACACTCCTGTGATTGCCAGTCACTCACCTTCACCTTGCAGGCAGCCCCAGCTGTGTCCATGAGCATTGCCAGGCACGTTTGCAGCCAAGGTTGTGCAGGTTTGTCCCACTGGTGCAGGTAGGCAACAACTGGAACCTCAAGCCTGGTGTCAGGGAACAGCCCTGCAGCCCACCTGGGGACACGCTGGGCATGCAGGAGAGGACACCAAGTAACACACACTGAAATAAAGACAGAAGGGCCCAGAATTTTTAAATAATTTTATAATTTCCTGATGAACTTAAGTCTGTGAATAAAAAAAGAAGAAAAAAAAATGAACAAAGTGTTTATATTATCAAGGCAAAGTTGAATATAACACATTTTCTTTGCAATTTCATTATCCTGTCAGTAACATGACTCCAGCAATAAAACACATACAAGTTGAAGGCAGCGTGCGCGCTCGCATCACGGACACCAATGTCTCCCGCTGCTGTCATTTCCAAAAGGAATTCAAGTACACCAGATCCCATCCCTAAAGCCTGCCTCCCCCTCCACTAAAGTGCAACACGTCTCTTCCAAAGCAAACGAGGGATCTGTGCCTGTGGAGTGGATGGGGCATCCCACAGATGATTTTTCAACTCCACAGATGATTTGTGAACGCTGTGCGCAGCTCTCCTCAGTCACTGCCTTGGAAGGAAACAGCAATATACTGTTCTAGTGGGCTTGGAGCAGCATGTTGGGCTAGCACAGAAGTTATTCCCTGTTTGTGGTCCCATTGGATCAGTCCTCCTCCAGCATCTGGACAAATAAAGGCATCTTACACTAAAGCCTCCCCAGGTATACTGTGATGAGTGTGTAATGAGGGGCCAAACGCAGCCACCCCTGGGCAGGGAGGGAGGGAGGACTTGGCCTTGTCCAAAGAGAGCTGGGAAGATGGGGCAGATAAAAGGAACAATGTCTACTTCTAAAATTTGGCTTAAAACTTGGTTTTTAAGATAAGCACATTTTATTACTAATAACAGTATACAAGACCAATAGATCCATTTCTTATCAGTTTCCAAGTGAAAGAAACCAATGTTTTGAACAAAAAGCCCTACCAAAGCACCAAGTGCCTAATGGGAATATTTTCTTAAAAGCAAACCACATTGACTTGATTTTCAAGATCTGAACTAAGCTTGCAAAATGGGGGCAAACAGCATATGGTTAAGTTTGATAATAAAAATACATTCACTTAATGAAATTCTTTACCTATGTTCATAGCTAAAGCGATTTGTCAGGGTTTTTTTTGTTAACCTTACACACCAGTTTAGCTTCAGGATGTTCCTTTCAAGCAATGCAAGTCTTTGATGCAACCAAAGCAGAAAGTGGCTGCTGGTCCTTTCCTGCCCCATAACACACTTGGTGACCAACACCAGAGGCAAGGAAATGAAACTTTAATACTGAACCTACACTCAACTACCTGTACCAGCTGATCTGCACTTGCTCATGTCCCTGGCATCAAGGGGTGGGATGAAAAACCAGAAAATTTGGCCAAAGCATTCACATCAGTGGTTCCCATCTTAGGGGACACCTGGTGTTGATAACTGTTACCAGAAAAGACTGACTTCCAAAATACTGTTTCATTCTGCCCATTTCTGTCTTACACATGTACAGTATAAACCTGGGAAAGCAGGAATTTATACAGGGTTTGTAACATTTCCTAAGAGGCCAAGCTGCCTTGGACCTCAAAAGCCTGTGAAAGGCAACTGGTTGTAATTAAAAGCCCACAAATCCTTTTCCGTGCAATCCCGAGAGGAGGAGTCATGGCTTTGTTGCTTCTTTACTTGAATTCCTTTTAATGAAATTTATTTTTATATATTTTTTAAAACACATCTTTTTCAGTTCTACTACTATCTTTTGTTTCAAACCGACAATAGACACACATTGTTGGTAACTGCCCCAGCCTTAGGACCACACAGACAATATCGACAAGCAGAAAACAAAACAGGAAAAAAACACCCCTGAAAAAGTCAGGGGAGATACTGATGACAGGGTTACAGCACTCACCACACACACTGGAAAAAGTCAGGATTTCTGAGTTTATGCTTTTGACACTAAAAAGTTTTGAAACAGTTTTTCTCTTTTTTTTTGTTTTTGTTTTAAAAACAGTCAGCGGATACAGCCATTTTGTTCAGAAGGATCTGCTGTTGCGTAAGGTTCCTTCCATTTACGTGGAAAAAACAATTAAAAACACCGTTTTGTTTTAAAAAAACCCCTGACACTCCTCTTCCTCACCAGGCAGATGAGAGGGGTCAGCAGATTTGGCCTTGCCAGGCACGATGCCCCTGATGCCCTGCGCCCGGCCCTCCCACCCCGCCGGCTCCGCTGGGGCAGTGTTGGTTATCCACAGCCTTCCACGGCCTCTTCAGGTCCCTCTTCCAGTGGGGATGTTGAGCTGAGGAGAAGCTTCCTTTCAGTATCAGATGCCTTGATTGTACTCTTTCCCTTTAGCACTTCACTGGAGTCATTTCAGGGATATACACGTTATTTTATGTAGTGATATTTTTGCTTTAAAACAGTATCAGTGCATGACTCTACATCCTTTGTGAAGACCCCTGCAGTGGCAGCAATTGGCAATTAGTACAGGAGTGGGGACTCAACCCTGTCAACCCTCATCAGATGTAAAGATTTCCCAACAAATTGAGCACTAGCAGCAGAACGGATGGGAATTACAGGGCAAATGAGAAGAGGTGCTCCTTTGGTTCAACAACCAGGGTTATCTCTATGAGATTTATGACATTTATGCTCCCTTGTGCAAATTTCAGAGCCCTGAAGTACCAGGAAATTTTCAAGAGAAGGCATATTCCAGCCGTGCAACGAGAAACGGCGCACGCGGCTCCGCGCATCGCGTCGGACCTTCACCTTCCGCCCCCAGGACTTGGCAAAAACTGGATATTCCAAAGAGGGTTTGGCATTTTCTGGAGTGAAAGCTGGTTAAAGGCAGCCAAAACGAGAGAGAATGCTTAGAGAGGCTTAGAGCTTCATCTGGGAGCATGCCAGGTAATTCTTCCTCCAATGGCAAACAGTGCTCATGTCCTCACCCTGCGATTCTAGTGTTATGTCCTTTTAGTGTTTTACATGAGGTTGGATTCAGAGGAAAATATGGACTTGGACTCGTGGATATCATGATCAAGTGTGGTTGCAGTGTCAGCTTCTACAGTGTTATGTGGGCTTCAGAGGCTTCAGTTATTTTTTAGCCCAAACCCTGCCAAAATGGCCTATTTAATTTTCTATTAACAGCTCCTGAGTCCTTACATATCTCAGTTTCTCTGCAAATGACAGCTCAAAAGAAAAAAAAAAGCAATATTAAAGCAGTTAAAACTTTCACAACTCCTGTAGCAAATGGAACTTCATTCAACAGGAGAAGAAAAAGCAAATTTCCCCAGAGTCCCTGGGAAGGGCCCCTGATTTCCTAGAGAAAAAGGAAATTTTTCCTGCTGCACTGCAGGACCACTGTGGTAGGAAACTGTCTGCATCTGCCTGGCTGCTGACACTTGGGAATAAGATCTTAAAAGAGCAGTGGTGGGTTAGGCAACTGGATGAGCATTGCAGGGTATGCCACATATGGCCCTTCTCCCATGTGCCTCATATGCAATTCCATGATGGGTTATGAGAATAAAATCCCTTTGTTGCCTTAAGGCCAATGGTGTGGCACTCCATACGAGTGAAAAGAAAAAGCTTTCAGTGGTCACATCCAGCATTAAATTGTGGCCAGAAGTACCTCCCAAAGCCCAAAGTTCCTCAAGCTGTTCACAGGATCTCTGTCGACACAGGATCAGAGAGGTTACCTGAAATAGTTCAGTGGAGATCAAGTTGGATCAAGACTGTTCCTAAATGAGATCTGCTCCCTCCCTGAAAGCACTTTACAGAGGTCTAAGATCAGTCTTTAACATGGGAAGCCTACAAGACCTAGGAGATAACAGCGGTTAACGAGAAAAATCACCAGGGCTCAACAATTCAGATGGAAGGAACAGCAGGTGTGTGGCTGGCAGATAAAGGACCAAATGGCCAGCGTGAAAACCAGCCAGGCTTGACAAATCCTCCCTGGGAAGAGGCCAGGAGATGTGTAAACAGTGAGCTTCACCCGGCTGCTGATGCACAGATCCCGCACACGCTGCCGTGACAGCACCGGGCCTTTGGCTGGGGCACTTTGGACTATGGAAATGCAGCCACAAGCTGAGTTAGAGATGCTGAAGAAGCAGCAGCACTTCCCTGCGATGTGTGGGCAACGCAGTAAAGCCAGGGAATTGAAATAACAGCCTGAAGTGATCACCCCTCACTCCCATCCCCTCCCCCTGCCCCTGCCTCCAGCAGAAACACTATCAAGGAACATCTCAGTAAGAGGTTTACAAGCAGGAGCCATTTGAACCATCAATAAGGGAAATTCCACAGCTTCTCACAGAGGAAGGATTGTTTTACAGCAGGGAACCAGGGCAGCTGGAGATTTGACCATATAAGTTAATGAGAGAGTCAGGAGGGGCGGCGGTGGCCGATGATGCTGGGCTGATGGCTCTGATGCTTTTACAGGCGGCATTAAATTCCTTGAGTGAGTAATTAGGGGTGATGAAGAAAATGCAAGAGGAAAGATTTCAAAACAACAGCTCCTATCGAAACATGCTGACTCAAAGAATGGGACCAGAGGGGTGGCTCTGGGATGAGGCAGGGCCCAGCAGTGTGTACAGTCACTGTCTGCTGGCCTTCCGGCATTCCCCCTTCCCCACATTCAGGTTCCCATTACTCCCCTCACACACGACACAAAAAAAAAAAAAAAAAAAAAAAAAGCTGCAGACACAGGCTGCTATTACAGGAAGAACTAAAGTTAGTTCTCCTGATTTGCAAAGCACTGGCAATTCCCAAGTTGGAAAAGGAGTGATTTGCCTCTTCTTTTGAGACTTACTTCTTCCTGGACATCCTGGCTATGAATGCAGCTCCTTCTTCTGAATTGTTACAGTAGAATCAAGGGGGATGTGATTTATTTAAAATTAGCTAGTTTTCAATAGAGTCTACAGGTACATAAGGTTTCAGTTTTGCCCAATTTTCACTGCTTGTTTGGAAAAAAAAAAACCTACAAGGTACATCTTCCCTTACTCAAACTTTTGCTGATTTCCTTTCTGTTGGAAGCAATTGGTCACTTCAAAAGATAAAAACAAAGTGTGAAAGACCTACAGGCGAGCTGTGCTGTGGATCTGAGAGATGTAAGAAATGCAGCTTTCTTGAAAAGGCCTGGAACATTTTCCTTAGCAAAACTGTGATTTAATTTAGTGATTAATTTAATTTAATTTAATTTAGTGATTAAATTCAAAATGTAGTAAGCTATATGGAATTAAACTGCAGGCTCTGAATGGGAGGTTTACTGAGAAGATTCATAATTAGCTATTAACTAGAAAACCAAGATATCTTCCACTGCTGTGTTATTTGGTCTCCTTTTGCCTTCCCCTCACTCTCTGAAGTAACATGAGCCAGTCAAAGGAGCAGCTCCTTTAAGGAGCACATGGGGACATGTTACAGGGCTCTGTCCTGCAGATGCCCCCAGACACACATAACCACTGGCAGCCAGGAAAAAACGTGTCTCCCCATTAATGCATAGTCCAAGAATGAACACCCAAGTCCTACTCATAAAATAGGATTTCTGACTTGCTACCACAAGGACAAACTGATCTGGGATTTCAGGTCATATTACCTATCAGCAGGAGCTGTAACGAGAGTCAAAGGTGGATGGGAATAAAACTAAGGCCTCTCATATGCACAGAAGAATTGCACTGGTTTAAGTAAAGCTGTGATTTTACACCTATCTACTCAGCTGGGTGCCAACTCCAGCAGAGATGCTCTTCCTTATAAGGGTTATTGCTATGAACTCAAACTCATTCCTCGTCAATGTAAGCTAAACCAAAATAAATTAAATTATAATTATAGTAAGAAATATGCTACTGGTTTACCTAACTTAGCTTTAAAATTATACTTTTAAGCTAAATGATGCAAATGTCTCATTTACAGAATGCTTAAGACTACTCTGATGACAGGCAGTGTTCACAAAGTCACAGCCTGAAAAACTGGACAAACTGTACAAGTTAAAGCTGGGAACTGACCTGTTGACCACACCTGCTCGAAGGGAGAGAGCTCTCTATAAAGTAAGAACTTAGGAGACACAGACCTATGATGAGAAACCTCATTTAAAAGCCCCCAAAAATCAAAAGATGAAAACAGTTACCTCAAAAAATGGCCCAACTAGCAATCTGGAGTCAGACCAGTGGACAATAAAATTCCACGTAAGGTAAACAGAAAGTACCAGTATGCCTGACTACCTTTTTCCCCCAGTTGCTAGATGAAATGACTGACAGGAGCAAGGGGGGAAACTCTCCTTTCCTCACTCTGTTATTTAAGAACATAAGAAGCATTGAGACAGGCAGCAAGACCTGAGCTAGCTGATGCTGGCCAGCCATGAGCCATAATCAGAGCACACTCAGGTTTGGTTTTAGCACTGTGAAATTCAGGCTTTCAGCTTTCATGAAAAGAAAAAAACAGGAAGGAGGAAAGAAGACAAGAAGGAAAAAGCAATATATTAATGAAAGGCGAGGGCTACTCTTCTGCAACCTCACGGAGAACTAGAGCTGCTTATGTTCAGTGGATCCCCTCTTCTTTGCTCAGTAGACTTGGAAGAGCTCTGCTTAGCTGTATCCAAAAGTCACCACCAACAAAGTCAATGGGGAATTGCATTCTAAAGTAGAAAGGCAGTGAGAAGACGAATACAAAAATGGCTGATTAATCATAGACTGGAAGAACCTAGAGAGCATGTAGTTTTCAGAAGGGTTTTTTTTTTTTGCCTTTGTTTTCTTTGTCGAAGGTGCACCAGAAGTTTCCATGTTCTGTCTTTCCCATTGCTCTCCACTCCCATGGCTCCGTGGACTGCCTGGGCTTGGCCACTGGTGTGCTGCTCTGTGGGCTGGTGGCCGAGGTCACGAGGACTCCTCGAGGGCGTTGACGACCTGCTCCAGGATGTCGGGGCAGTGATCCGCGATCTGCTGCAGGATGGCGTTGGCGAACTCCTGCAGCTCCACGCTCTCCCTCTCCCCCTTCTCCAGCTCGTCGTGCAGCTGCAAGGACACACAGACACACGGTCAGGCCCTGCTCTGACATGTGTGACAGCCCTGCCCAGCAGGCTCGGCCTCACCACCACTCGGGAAGGGAACTAACAGAGGTGACACATGCTGGGCGCTTCCAGCGCCTGCATCTTCCCTTGGTGACCCCCTCACCTGGAACTGAGTGCTCTCCAACCTCTTCATTTCACTTTTTCATTCTACAGGACCAGGTTTGTCACCTTCCCAGTAAACATCATGTCCACATGACTTAACTACTCCTGAATGCATTGTTCTAGGATAAATACAAGAAAAACTTCCTCTGCAGAATGTTTTTCTGAAGGCAACCATATTGCAGGAGCAATACAGCAGCTTGCTAGTGTATTGCTTTAAATAGATTGACTTTTGTCCATGAACAATGGGATGTGTCACAGGCCATTACTTGAGAATTATTCCTGATATGAAATCAATAGGAATGTCACATAATGCACCCAAAGTTAACCAGAATTCTATTTTTCCTGAGGAATTACTAATTTTCAGAAACTCTCTTTTCCAACTCAGCCAGAAAATGACTACACACAATTGCAGTGGAACATACACGATTTTTGTTTACTAACTCTGCATTTCCTGTTGGGTCATTCCTTCTTCAGATCCCTACAACTGGCTCAGAACAGGACACAGAATTTCAAACTTTATATTATTCACTCTGTCTACAGTTTATAAACAGTTTCTCCAACAAGTGGTGTCCCAAACCATGTCACACAACATATGCAAACACAGCTTCCAGCTTTGAGCCTAATGCCATTGCCAGATTTAGGGGCCCAGAGAGTCTTAATAAAGAGCAGGAAACATCTGCCTTCAGTAACCTGCTTAGCTGCCCAGCAATTGATAAAGTCCATGCTGGCCTGTGAACGGTGCACAATCCCAAGGAAGGGTCTACTTTGTGCAAGCATTTAGGGATTACTGTACTCCCAGTGGTCTAAGGACCTCAGAGAACATGGAGAAGCAGCATCCCATACTAGGTCAGATGACATGGACAGATAGACTGGATAAGCTTTCAAGCAGACAGCCCTGCCCTGTTCTATATACCAAAAAAGCTCTTTTATTTGTTCAGTGATAGGATTGTCTTCTAATAAAGCATATTCTCTATGAATACAAGACAAGCATATATGTAGCAGGTACATACACTTAAGATGGACTCTGAAGCTTATTTCCAGCTTCTCAAGCCAAAGTTCTTTGTCACTTTGAGCTGCTGTGAGCAACCATCTTATCTTATTTGAACCTTCTTTTAAATTTTGTGTGGTTTAAAAAAATTTATTATCTGTCAGTTCTGTAACATTTCTTATTTCTAACGGATTAGTATTTTTATTGGAACTCTACTGTGTTAATACAAGACATGGAAAGAATGTCAAACTGGCATTTTTCATGCCTGAAGGGATAACTGTTCATCAGATTTGTTGATCTGTGCTTGGCACTTCTGTAACACTGCTCAATGCAGGTTTTAAACAGAGAGAACTATCAGGCAGCAGCACAGCAGGGATCATTTTACCACTTTAAGAGCACAATGCAGTGGCAAAGGTTAGATTTCTACAATTAAAATTCTAATCAGATACAACAGCATGTCTCTGTTTAGTGATGGTATCAAGCAAAGCACAGCAAATTGTTTCTGCAAGAAACTGCTTTAAAACAAACAGCCTAAGAACGACTATGGAATAAATAAAAATGCTTTTTAAGAAAGTTATGGTGCAGGCTTCTGTAGACAAAAGTGTGAGAAAGGAAATTAAAAGGGCGAGCGTGCTACACTGTTCTCTTTACTAGGCAGAGTAGCATATAGTAAATTATTGGGGCTTTGCATGCTGAATGTTGGTTTAATGTGTTCTTATGTGCTTTGTTCCTACTGGCTGCTGCACTCACAGAACAGCCATAGGAACCCGAGAGGGGCTCCTGCCAAGAATCACAATGCAAAGGCAACCTGATCCCGCTCCGTGGAGTGACATGAGCTGGGAATGGGGAAAGAGAGGGAGGGGAGCACTCTGGCCTTGGGGAGGGCTCTGGGGGAGAAAGGGGGGGCTCAGCAGTAACCCATAATGGCTCAGGAATGGCAGGCTGTGGATGGGTGATCAGCAACCTGGCACAGGTATTAGTGAGGAACTTACAATGATGGATAAGCCTAGGAAAGGTCCAGCCATCAAGCAGGATTGAGAGAGTCAGAACAAGCAGCAGCCAGGAGTGGTGCTGGATATTAAAAGCCAGGGGACTGGGATTCAGGGACAGCTTCTGAGCCTGGGGTTGTAAGGCTGGTGAGATCCCAGCCGTGCAGGTGGCCCCAGGTACAGCAGCCTGCAACCCCCCCACCACTGCATTCCTGGGAATGCTCTGAGCCTACAGCTCTGAGACATGGCTGCCTTGTGCCTTCTTGGGCAAGCACAAAGATTGCATGGTGCCATCCATCAGAAGGATGGGAGGCCATGGAGCTGGGAGAGAGCAAGCAACAGGACAAACAGCCAGCATCATCATTCTCCTTTTCTTATCTGGCACCTGCAAGGGTCCTGAGCTCTCAGTCCACGGCAGGAGAACCAGGAGAGGGCAGTGTTAGCAGGGAAAGCAGAGGTCCTGCACCACCACCACCTGCCCAGCCAGCACCCTTCTTGCTGGCCTTTCAGCCAAATCCTCCAGGTGAAGCTCCAGGAAAGGACAAAGCAATTAAATTAATGAAATATTAAAGCACTTTCAACAGATTGAACTTCTAAGCTGAAAGAGATTGGGTGGACAAAGGAGAATCCTGCAGGATGTTGTCTTCACTGGGGCAATACTGCAACATCAGTGAAGTCTCATTTTCTTGCTCTACTAGTCAGCATTTATGTATTTATAAGATGCCTTATAAAATCAAGATAAGCCCAACACAATCAGCTGATGCCAAAGCTAATAAATCAAATGCAACCAAACAAAAGCAACCAACTTAACCAGAGGAAGAAAATATTTCCAATAAGAGAGATTTGACCATCAAGAACTCAAAAGAAGATGGCTCTGAATGCTGAAGGCCAGCAACAATACTTTACAAATTAGCACAGACAGAAAGTCTACACAGCTGGCTGGCAGATGTCTGTGACGAAGCGTCTTTGGAAAAATAGCAATGATAGCCCTGAGTTGAGTTTGCTAGCTTCAGAACAGCCAGATTTAATAATGTGATTCCTACTTCAGCAAAGACATCTTAATGGGCTCTATGGCTGGTGGCAGCATTTCTAGGCCAGGGATATCATCTCCATTGACGTCACTCCTCCCGGCAGCAGCTGGCAGCAGCACACCACCAGGCTCTCCATCAAGCAAGGGGAACATCCAGTTCTCAGTGGCATAACTGGATTCACCTGGATGTTTCAAAGTCCAAATTTTAGGGAAGTTCTCTGAAATTATGAACGTCAGTTCTGCTCCTGGTTTCCTAGATTTTTTTTAGCTTGTGAATGCAATGGTGTTATCCTCCCCATACCATTTTTCTATGAAAATAAAGAAATGTGAACAATCCTTTTTTGTTGGCATTTCCAGTTGAGGATATGAGGAGATTCACATACTTGCCTCATAGAAATGACCAAAAATGAGAAGGCAAAGCCCGATATGTTTTTTGTCTAGTTGATGACAAGTAAGAATAGACAGCTCAGAAAGGAAAGGACAGCAAGGACTCCAGAAGTGCTTAATAGTATTTATCTTTGGACAGAAGAACAGAAATGGCCTTCAGCATCTCAGGGGAAAGAAAGCTTGCAGATAATCTGCAATAGAGTCAGACACTTTTCAGCACTGCTGCCTTCCTTCCTGTGTTTAGAGCAAGTCACGATAGGAATAATTTTCCATTTATAGTTAAACTCCATCACTGAAAAAAAATCCCTAACAATTCACCACGAATTTCGCTTCTCTGTTCCAAGATATTTCAGAACCTACTTAAAGATTAGTTGACATTCAGAGCCATATGAATGATTCATATGAAGATAACTTCCTAGTTAAGAAATAGGATGCTGTGGTTTTATATGCAAACTGGGTGAACTGTGCTGCTGCTCTGCAGAACCTTCGTGGCCTCTGCTTTTCCCATAATGCAAACAAGGCATAATTAAACTAAGATTCTTTAAAACTTATTTATACTCCCCAGTGTGATTTTTGCCTCATTAACAATTCCAAAGGAGCACTGATGAAAAAGGGGCAAACACGGATAAACTGATTATCTCATCTTGGGCTATGGACAGTAAGCCTGAATACAGAATATGAAGGACTTGTAGAGATGCACAAAAAGGAAGTTAGTGGAGAACTTCTATAAGGACAGAATACCAGAATATAAAATTATGTTTCTCTGAAGTTCAAGTGTTTCTGAATCAGGTTATGGTTAGTCTGAAAACTATATTTAGAGCTTAAAGTTACACAAGTAAACACCAATAAGAAATTACACTGATTTAATCTAAACCTTTGCTTTGTCTCAACTTTAAACTTCACTCAGGCAAATTGTCAAGAGCTTTTTCATCCACCCAGACAAACCAGTGTACAAATACATGTGTTTGATGTAGTGAGAGCTAATTACATATAAACCTTTATTTCTCAACTATGTACCTATAAAGCAGTCAAAATAAAGGGTTACAAATATGGAAATTCAGTCTGACAAATTTCAAAAACAAAAGAAGAAAAATTTTTAATGTAAACCCTTAAATATTTCTGCTCTATCTGGAAATTTGGGGGTTATGTTAGCTCTTTCGAAATACTTAAAAAACATACATTTAAAAATTAAAGTAAGATTTCAGATGAAACAGTCTTTTAAAATAATATCTACAATGCACATTGCCCATTTTTATTTGTGCATGGAATTACTAATTTTAATTAAAATATATACTATCCATCATTAACATTAACTATTGCTAACTTGGAAAGGAAAGAGATATAAAAGCAGAATCCACAGCAGCAGCTCAGCATGAGGAGATGCTGCACAAAGCTGTCACAAGGACCACGGTGTCTGAGCAAGGGCCAGAGGAACAGAATTTACTGCT